GAAAGTGGCTGCATCCTTTCTTACCGGCCGGCCGGTGCTGGGCCTGTCTGTCTGTGCTCTGTTATCCTGCGTCTTTTTATACTCAGTGTATTCCTCCATCTTTTGGCTCTCAAACCCCCCCCCCTCCCCCTAGTCTGTCTGGCTCCAGCTCCATTCGTCTATTTCATCCCTCCAATTTTCCCTCAGCCCCCCCTCTCACCTCTTCTGCTCACACACATACACACCCTCCTCCTTGTCCACTACTTGTGTCTACTAGAGTGGTTTAGGGCCAAGGGTAGCCAAGCGATTGCAACCAAGAAGACCGAGTCCAAAATATAAGGCCGGCCACTGACACTCTCAACTGCACCGTTTTCTCGTATTTCCCACGTGTATTTTGTCTGTTCATCTTCGCCTGGGGCTGCGGCTCGAGGTTATTTTTGGACTCTGCATTACTTCGACCTATCGTGGGCGCCCATGACCTGATAGTCACTTTTGGGTGGTCTTATTATTTCCCTTGGATATATTAGATCATACTATCCCGCAACTGGGCCATCTCCGCACCCTGACCCTCTTCATCATCCGCCATCATCTTTCGTTTATCTACTCCAGATCTTCCTCCTGTCCCCCACGCTCGCTCTTCACCATCTAACTCCACCTTGCACGACAACCTTCCTGTGCTCTGTGCCTGTTGCTTTGCGGCACACATCGTGTTTGAAGATATCAAAGCTTTTTCTACACAGCTACCCTGAGTAGTCGGACAACATGGCTGGTCCCGGTGGTGGTCCGCCTCGCAAGAGCCACACCAAGTCTCGTTTTGGTTGCAAGACATGCAAGAGACGTCACATTCGCTGCGATGAAACCTTTCCTCAATGGTACATATCACTCTGTTTCTGATATGTCAACTGCTAACCCCGAAGTAGCCGCAACTGCACCAAGCACAACTGTCGCTGTGACTACATGGATGTCGCGGCAGTGCACGAGGAGGCCTCCTCGATCCGCAACGTCCCCGACCTCCTCATGTCGGCGGAGATCGAGGCAGAGATCAAGAACTGGCACGTTACGGGCGTGCCTCCATTCCCCGAGTTGATGCACTTCCCTCGCAATAGCTGGAGTAAGCTATCACGGACCGACCTGCGGCTGGTCCATCACATCATCGGACTCTCGATCGATCTCCACCGTCGTGGGCTCGGTAATTGCACCATTTGGGCCCAGAAGATGCCAACGTAAGTGTCTTTGCAATCGCAATGATATACCGCAAGCATTTGGCTTACACTCTCTGCGTGCTAGCTTCCTCACCATTGCCCTCTCCAATGACTTCGTCATGAGCTCCATCTTGACCATGGCCGCTTCCCACCTGGCATGGATCACTCGCAACCAAGAAACCAAACAGCTGGCATATCACCATCGAGGGATTGCCATTCAAAGACTTCACAAGGCGATCGGCACATTCTCCCAAGACAACTGTGATGCAATCCTTGCTTCCTCCATTCTCCTGTCCTGGCAGGCTTCGGAGTGGCAGAGTTGGGCCTCATTGCAGCAGGGTTTGACTACAGTATGTCACCTAATTCGTGGTAACGAACCGAGAAGCTAACAGGTAGAAAAGGTCTTGAACTCGATGCATCCCAGTTGGAAACATGAGTCAGAGCTAGCCATGTATTTGGAAAACCAGAGATACTTGGGCTGCACCAACACGCCAGTCATGTCTGGCTACCAGTTCCAGGACGAGGATTTGGCTAGCCTCGACCAAGTCATGGTCGCACTACAGGCAATCCAAAAGAGGACTTCGCACAACCACGATCACTATCGACGGATTGGCGAACTCCTCGAATTTGTACGACACTTCCAGCGAGATCTTCTCTCTCAGACACCCGAACAGGCTTTTGAGCGGATGCAACCGCTCCGCCGGTGGCTATTCTGGCTTCCACCGGCCATGCTGCGGCCAGAAGACGCAGATGTCGGTTCTCTTTCCATCCTGGCGCAATTTTTTGGCGTCGGAGTCGTTCTAGACAGCTTGTTCCCCGACTTGGGAGGGGCCTATCTAGGTCCACTGTCTCTGGGCCCGATTGAGGAGATCTACCGGCTCATCGTCTCTCGAAGCGCCACGGATCCATTTAACCCGGAGGTTCAGTTGGCGCTATCGTTCATGGACCTTCCTCGTCACATTGTTGCGAAATACAAAAGCCGTCTACAATGGTCTCCCCGCACCTCGATTGATCACTACTCGCCTGCCCCTCCCAGCCCCTACCACAATGCGCACGACTACCGCATCGTCTCCTCTTCTTCTCCGTCCTCAGCCTCCGCCACCTACGCCCCCTACACTCCGCCCCTTCAGTCGCCTCCCGCCGTGACGATCGCCAGTCCTCAATTCGACGTCACCGGATCCTATGTGACAGCTCCTCCTTCCTCCCAGGCTCTCTATCCCCCGTCGCCCGGGTTACTCTCCGACCCACGCGAGGACTTGTCAGATTACAGTCACACCGGGTCCTTGCAGCACTCGCCCCTCTTCCCGCCGCCATACATGAATGATGTGGTCTGCGGGGAGCTGCCACGTGTGGATGGATCGGTGGGATTGAACATGCAGTTCTACGAAGAACCCCATCCCGTGTTCGGGGCCTACCATGTTCCAGAAGCAGGATGGAATGGTAGTGTCTGCACCTGAATGATACCACGCGTCTTTAGGGCGTGAGCATTTCTTTTTCTTTTCATATTTTTTTTTCTCTCTTCGGGTGCTACGGAACAAAAACACGGCATAAATCGGGATTTGGTTATGGGAGCGAATGGCTGAATAGAGCGGACATGAAACTTTTCTTTTTCTTTTTATCTTTTTTTACTCTTCCCATCGTTATTCTGCATTTCCATGCTATGCTAGTGATTGAGATTTAGTTTCTCTCTCATGCCTACACATGGGTATGAGCTGTGCAGCATGGATTGCGACTGAGAGCGGAGCGAAGCCTACTAGCCTGCAGAAGGGCTAGGGCGGAATGGGATGTGATGATCCATTGGCGATATACCCTCGGCGTTAGGGCTGTGTTATAATTCGGGTACAATGGAGGCAAGGGATTTGGCCACAGGATTGGATTTGTGGAAATCATGTGTTTCTCTTGTTGATTGATCTACAAACTTATACCACCACACGTGTGATGGTGATGACGATGATATGAAGCAAGCCACCAACCAACCACTTACTACAATACTTACTCACTACATGATTGAGTTTTTTCAATGATAATGATGAATACTATTTACTTGATGATTATCATGCAAATCTAGCGCAGGATGAAACGGGTCGCCGTTTCACACTTCCATTCATCTATCCATCCATCCTCTGGAAAACCAGCAAAAGAATCATCCATCAATCAAAGATCCTCCGAACTCGCCGAAATAGATCGACCCCCCACCCCCAAGAAAAGATCACTAGAACTAGATAGTCCAGTCTGATCCTGTCAGTAGTTTAAAAAACCACTAGACCAGAAACTCTGCATGCATGAACGGCCTCGACTCCCTCGACCCCGGCCGGGGCCTGGTCTTCCGGTCATTCTCCTTCTCTTCCCCTTTGGGAAATGCAAGCATGGGTGGGTATGGGCATGTCAGCCAGCCTGCACGTGGCGATTGAATTTGGGGGGGGGGGGAGCGCCTTGGCTGGCTTCTTGCCGATCTCAACACAACACAACACGACAGATTAGTATAGTATAGTATCGAACGGGACCCCCCCCCCACCCCCAAAATCTCACTCACCTCGAAATGAACTGACACCACCGCTTGGGAGATGAATCCTTTTCCCGAGACCACTAATCAGACGCTGACTTTCGTCCGTCGTTGACGAAGTGGGTTTGGGTTTTCGGTCTGGGTTGGGCATAAGGATAAGGTATGCCTATGCCATATCCACATCGTGCATGTCGATCTAACTCCTATGTCTTACTTGCCGACTATAACAGTCCGACCCCGTAGATTAATTAAATGTACTGTCATCTTTAGTTGCCGAGTTAATCAATCGCTATCAATTACGCGAGTGAGAAGGCTAACTCAGCTAGATACTGTATACGATGCAGAAGAAGGATGTGGTTGGTTGGTTCGGCGAGTCTTCCTTCCTTCCTTCCTTTCCTGATCTGCACACTGAGTGCAGTACCCGTGACATGTCACCGGGGTACAGTACATAGTTACAGACACGGATGCCTGGCAGAACTGATCCGATGTGCTACTGTAGTAGGCAACCCCCCTTGCCTCGCTGGAGAAAAGCCAAGTTTTCTTCTTTCTAGAGCCATTTATTCAAATCTGTCGTTCCAACACCCTCTAGGTTACCACCCATGATCCGAGGGGGAAATCGAATTTCAGGAGGATGATACTTCAGTAATCCGGGAGATATCCCCTTTTTCTAGCACTGGTGGTGTATGAGGCATGATTCCGAGAGGATTGAGACGCCGTTCAATCCACTCAGCGACCGAATACCATATCGTTCAACTATCATCATGGATAAAGTGCGTCATTCCTCAAACCAGACACACCGGACAAACCAGACACACTGAAGGCGCACCACGACCACATGTCGAAGTATCTTATCCATGGACAAAAGGAAGGACAAGGCCTGTTCATCATGTACTTTTCTAAACTAGAATAGAATCTATGTAAGGTTAGGTTAAAGACTAAAGAACTTCAGACTCGGTGACAAGTCCATCATATGCAATCCCCATCTCATCATGACCACATAGGTGTAAACAGACCAGCATGCATCGCATCACATCCCGGCCATGGTTATTCATTCAGGTCACCCTACCACTCCCTCATAAATCCTCGGAACTGTCACGGAGTCACACAGTGGCCGTGGGTCTAAATCGCTCCACATCCACATCCACATGTGCCGGACATCAGAGACAGATCAACGGCGAGTGCTTCCTGGCCCTCGGCATGAAAACAACTAGCCACTCAAGTTCAGAAGCCAGGAACCTGGAACAGGAAGGGACGGAACAGCAAAGAAGAAATTAAGGAGAATGTAAATTTTATACGCCTTTCGCCATGTGATATTTTGAAACTTTCAGATGGGACATTAACATGAGAAATTATAGATCTAAATCTGATATACAGAACGAAGTCTCTGGGCAACGTGGGCCGGAAGTTGCGACAGGAAGGTATCGAAGTTGGGTATCATATTTTTGTAGCCTTGCAGAACCTACAAACCCCAGTTAGCGCAATCCCGGACCGAACTGAAATTTCAAATACATACCTGCTGGAAAGATGTTTGAATGTCCCGGTAGTCATCCTGGTTCAAAGATTTGCTGGGGAAGGCCGCAATGGCCTGGAAGAAATCGCCCAGGAATGACTCCATGGCTTGCGGGTTCTTCATGACTACTTGGTTGAAGCCCAGGAACGCTGACGCCTTCTCGCGGGTGAATTCGATCTTGTTCATCGACTTCAAGAAGACGCCAGCGTACTCGTTCAGACGAGGCGCAAGTTGATCCGAGCAGCAGATTCCCAGCCGACCCAGCGCCATCGCAGCGTTCTCGTTCACAGAATCAATAATCTCTTCGTTGTTGATGATGATGTAGAGCCTCTGGTACAGCTTCTCGACGTACGGCGACAACGCCGCCTTCTCGTTGACCGCGATCTCTCCGCAAGACCAGCAGGCGTTGTTAAGCACACTGAATCCCGTGTGCCGATCGTCATCTCGGATCGTATCCAGATCAAGTTGCTGGATCAGAGTTGGCATGATCTGAGGAATGAAGGGTTCGAGTTGGGGGAAGATGTTGATGGCACAATCACCCAGCAGAGCGTACGACGACTGACGGACCTCATAGTTCGGGTCCTCCATACAGAAGCAAAGGAGATCGAAGAAGCGGGGCTGGGAGTTGGCCACCAGTTCACCGCTCTTCTGCGGATCGATCGCCTGGATAATTGCGCTCAGAAGGTCCAAGCTAGTAACCAAGAAATCCTTGTCAGGCTCCTCGACTCCCTGGTTGCTGACGGAGGCCATATACTCCTGCAGGTTCTCATAGATGATCTTAATGCAGCGCTGGAAAAGAGGCTGCGCAAATGGGGCGAACGCATCTCCGTAAGCGGCGGCAATATACCCAAGGCACTCGAGCAGAGGGAAAAGCTCCCGAGACTGGTCGGCGATCTTGTTATAGCGGTCGATAAGAGCAGGCATCAAGATGTTCACCAGCTGAGGTTGCGCCAACTCACCCATGACGCACTCCGCCAGGGTCTGCACACAATCGTACAGGATGTACATGTTCCGATCCTTGTATTTTCCGAAACACTGAACGAACTGCTGAAGGATGGGCTCGCAGTAAGGGATCAAGTTGGCATCGGACTTCTCCTCAAGGCTTGCAAAAGCCGATGCAGCTGCCTCTTGAACCTTCTTGTTCCCATCCAGCATGCGACGCAGGATACCGTCCATCATGGGCTCAAAGTAGCGGGCCCTTTCCGCAGGGTCGGCCAGGTGGGAAGCCCACTCGGAATACCGTCCCAAGCACCAGCAAGTGATCTGGCGAACGACAGGCTGAGAATCATTGAGGCACGAGATCAGATAAGGAACGAGCTCCGGGAGATGGGGCGTGACCGCATTCATGCAACCATCAGCAACGGCCCCCAAAGTCAGAACAGCAGCTTCGCGCTGTGTCCACTGTTCATGACGAAGGGTTTCCATCAGATAGGGCAGGATGATTTCGAAGATTGGGTCATGGTAGACATTGGAAAACACGTCCAAAGCCGCCGCTGAGCACTTGCGAAGAGTCCACTCATCCTCAGGATCGTCTCCAAACTCCGAATCCTCGATCTCACCCTCGCTCAGCTCATCGTCATCGTCCTCAGGAGCCGGATTGCCATTGGTCTGGTCCGGCTTAGAAGTATCCAGACGAGCGCCTTTCGACTTCGCAAACTGAGGTCTAAGATCTTGATCGCGATCTTCTTCCTCCGCATCCTCGCCCTCTGCCGCCAAGCGGTTGGCCTCGTCTTCATCATAAACCATACTCCGCAGCAAGACGGGCACGATCTGGGACATATGCGGGGCTAGTGGTTGCTGCAGTTTCACTTGTTCACCCGCAACCAGCCAGAACTCCGCTGCATCGAGGGCGAGCTCCGGATCCTCCTGATTGCTCTGTTGCATGATGATATAGTTGACCAGCCCTTCCATGTGCGGAACCAATTTCTCCGGGGCGAAATCCACAAGTTGGGCGAAGGTCTGACACACCGTCCGGCGGACATCTGTGCTAGAATCATTGGCCAATTGGAACAGCTGCGACAGGAACAAATCCAGGGAGGCGACAAGCGCCTTGGGTCGGTGGGGAAGGAAGACGTGGATTGTGCGGAGGGCCATCGAACGGACCTTGGCGCTCTGGTTGGAGGTGAACTCGAGCAGCTTCGGGATGATTACGTCGAGCGGACACTGTCCTTGGTAATCGCGATCCAAGATCTTGCGATTATCTTCGCAGACCTTGGCGAGAGCGGACATGGCTGCCTCCTGAGCGAAGCTCGATACGTTTCCAGAATTCTCGACCAGCGCCAGCAGCTCGTTCAGGACATCCGGCCATGCCAACAATCCAGCTTGTTGAACCAACTCTGTGATGATCGTACCGGCGAAGTTCCGGACTTGTGAATTGTTGTCGCGTAGACTGGTCAGAGTCGCTGATCGAATATAGGTGAGAGAGGTCTGAGGAATTGTGGCATAGGCGACGCGGATCTTGGTCTTGAGGTTCACGGCTGCGGCGAAACGGACCAGGTTATAGGTTTCCTCGTTCATACCGAGATGCGAAGGGGGCTGTGCAGTGCAGAAGAGGTAGGTAATATAGTTGACATAGTCTGGAGAGGAAGTTGCTTGTACTAGCATCTATCAGATGAAAGAAAAAGATCGAAAGAGAGCTCCAGTCAGTCATTTTGATTTTTTTTTTTTCCAACGGTAGCAGACCAGCTCAAAAGGTTTCTTAAGATGGGGTGATAACATATGATAAGTGCTGGCAAAAGCGCAAGGTCTCAAGGACGGTATAGGTAAAGGGAAGAAATACAGTCGAGGCGGGCAGACAGAAATTCGCAGATGCGAGAGTGGGAGGGGGAGGGGGGAATCAAGCACACACCTGTTCGGCCTGTTTTTGAGCCGAGCGATCGAAACCGTTCAGAGAATCCCTGAGACAGCAGGCCAACTGGCCCAATGGCTCATCCTGCGGTTGCCACTCCATGATGAAAAAAAAAGGGAGGGGAGGAGGGAGGGGGGAGGGAGGGAGGAGAGGCGCAAGAGACAGGAAGAAGTAAATGCGGGAGTGGGAGAGGGAAGGACGGGGAGAGGGAGAGGGAGAGACGGGAGGGAGAGAGTAGTAGGAGGAGGAGTAGTAGTAGTAGTAGTGGTAGTAAGTAGTAGTAATAATAGTAATAGTAGCAACAGCAACAGCAGCAGCAACAGCGGTGGTAGTAAGAGTGAGGGAGGATTAGTCTGGTCTGTCTGCAGTGTGGTTTCGCCCAAAGGGAAGGGAACCCCGCCGTCTGGCTGGGAAAAAAAAAAAAAGCGGCAACCCTCTCATTAGTTATCTCCCACTGCATCTTCCTCTCCCACTAACTTAACTACTGTAATTACTCCATCCTTGCTTTGTCCATCTTTCTGGTCTTTCTTTCCCGCTTAGTAGCAAGAATACAATAATTGAAGGGTTTAGATTATAGGATCATCATTAAAGGAATCAGACCGGATGTCTTGTAGCATGTAGCAATAACCCAACTACGTAAAGTACAATACAGTACAAAGATAACAAGCGGCGACCGTGGGGCGAATGGGGATTGACTTGTTGATTGCTGAACCCAGGCCATATACCACACCAGGTATATGCGTCAAAGGACCATAAAATCGGTCGTAGAACAGACAATAAAGGCTCAGTTCACCAGGAGGCTACAATTACCAAACTGTTCTTTTTTTGAAGGGCCCCGTAGGTACTGTAATGTACTATTCTGTCTGTATTGGCACTGCTCCCAGCTAAACTTGATTGCCTGAGCGGTCATGGTACAGTACAGTAATAACCGGTATCTTATCTCTGGCATGGCTATGGCTCTCTGATGTCGACGTCTTGCATGGATTTCTCTTTCAACTTCATCGGAGATAGTGATAAGTGAACACGGCACTGACTTTTATCACAGTGAAGCATCGCGGCGTCCTAAAAATTACATAAGTGGCTCTCTTCTGATCTATATACTACTATTTTCCATGGTTGGATGGCGGAAAAGTGTGCGCACGTGCATCCTCAGCACATGCATTGACGCCCGCTTAATTTAGTCGACAGATCGACCCTCGTGCGTCTCTTTGCTTGGTCAGGGAGATACATACAATGCTATGAACCTGAACCGTTTCGGACCATCATGATCAGAATCTCATCATGAGCCGGGCTGGAGTCTTCGAAGGACCTGAGCTGAACTCTTGCTGCCAAACAGAAATCATATACCCGCAGTACCTGATATGTATAACTTCCTCCTATCGTCAACACCAATTGTTCGCAGTATTCAATCTAACTCCGCTCGCTTGCTTCGAGATAAACCGAAAACGAAATGCATCGCTCATGCCCAGACCAGTTTCTTAATGTCATACACCAGGTGTTCCAGGTATCCAGTGCGTTTCTTCGCCTCCTCCAACGAGATAATGTCCGAGGAATCAATCAGGGATCGCTGTTTGCCATCCTCGGGGGGGCCGTGCCGGTCACTTGCCGTCACGGCACGCTCGATTTCCTCGCAGATGCTTCGAACCCAATCCGAAGGGCTGACACTGCTAGTCCCCATGACTTGGGGAAGGGCTTTGAATGCAACCAGGCGGGTGGCCGCGTGCGGGGCGCCTTTGAACCACGAGTACATGCTCCACTCACTGCTCGGGCGCGCATCACTGTCGAGACTCGTGGAGGGCACCTGGCTCTGGAGAGACCGTGTATTAACCCTCAATGCGTTCTTGTCGCCTTCGCGATATTCCACCACCAACCCGACATTGCTGCGCTCGTCAGTCTGAGCCTCCGTCAAGATAGAGGTTACATATGGTCCATAATTGATTCTGGTCACCGAGCACAAATCAATCCGCTCGTAGGACAACACTTTGTCCGTGTTCCAGTCGAACCGGCAGCTATACAGAGCAACGTCCGTGAGGAGAAGGACGGCCTCTTCAAACGGCATAGTCCGGAGCGTGTTCGGCTGTCGGGGAGTCAGCAGTGTCCAGCCTCCGAGGAACTCTTCGGATTGGTCGCTGATGACGATCTTGCAGCTGGTGTCAATGGCATTCTGCCGAAGCTTCTGCACGGAGATGCCTGGATCGGTTGTCTGCATCTCAAGTGCAAACTCCTGGAAAACCTCGGTCGTAACGTTACCCAGCAGGTAATCGATACAGGCCTGTGAGAAATAATCGTTCACAATATTGTTGTAGTATCGAGACAGGGTCAGCCCAAAGTCGTTCAACGCTCCTCGATAATTCCGCTTGCGAGTGCGGGTGTAGTCTCCTTTCAGAGCAGCAGTGGAGGAGTACTGCTTCGAAATCGCATCGCCGTTGTCCGCCCAGAGGGTATTGAACCAGTGTGTAGAGGAATCGCGTCTTAAGTCGAGGTCTATTCCTTCCTGCTTCAACTCCCGCTCTAAAGCCCACTGGCCAAAAGCACATTGCGCAACACCCGTGCGATCGAGACAGTCCATGCAATTAGTGCGCATGATCCCAGATTGGCGCCGGAGAACAGTACCGTTTTGCACCATCGTATCGCCAAATTCGCCCAATGTAGATTCCAGCCGGTCGACCAGTCGACTTACTTTCTCAAACTTCATTCCTCGGCATTCATTATGGAAGTCAAACCACTCCATCTTGAGTGGCGCACCATCAATGCTGCCTGATTCATTCAAGGACCGAGCGAATTTCTCGTACTGCTCCCCGAGCTTCAGTTCACCAGCTTGTTTATCTATGAGGGATACTGCTTGGACGTTGCCATATCTCCGACTCAGATTTCGGAAGTGCCTGTCAAAGGCGAGCTGGTTCGTCTCTGTGGAATGATGCAGCACGGGGACTGGCTTGAAAGCGTACGGGGACTGAGAGAAATATAGCGGGATCGAGCCTCGCACTTGTAGGAACGAGTAGATATTGCGTGTCGGGTTCCAGTCAGACGCTGAGAGAATCTGTTCGGTTTCAACAAAGTTGGCGGTATTACCATTGTCATCCACGCCACGGCGGAGATATCGCAAGCCTGGACGCTTCACCGACCGTCGAGAAATTAGAGTGACGAGAAAATCGCGCTTCTCCTCGTCGGCCTTAACGGTATCGGCCTCCTGTTTATCGCCCAGAATCCGGCCATCGACCTGTTGCTCGTCTGGTTTCTCTGATTCCGATGATGAAGGCTTCGGAGTTGCCCCGACCGTGAATTCTCGTTGACCTACGAATCCTTGCATCAATGGCAGAGCAAAGCCGTGAGCATCGGCCGTGATGAAGGGCGAAAGCAGATTTCGATTCCAGAAATACTGGACATGATCGATCAGCCACTGAATATGGCCCATAGCTTGGAAGACCGCGTACTCACCATATCATCGACCAATCTGTGAAGTGGGAGGTGGGTGGCCAGCGAGGGCTCCTGCACACTCAGGTTCCTGGTAAGGTCGTAATCGTAGGCAAAGAAGAAATTGCGCGACGAGAAAATCATCTCCGTGTAACGCAGCAGCTTGGGCAGCAACTCGACCGTAGGATCCGAACCGAACGGCTCTGCGAGACTCTTCGACGAAGCATCATCACCATCTCGAGGCGCCGGGGTGGCCTCGTGGTCCTCGTTCACCTTGGCGATGGTCGGAGAAGACTCTGCCGTGCTTTCCCTGACATCGCCCATGGGCGCTTCGGTAGATTCCTGGTTGACTGTGCCGAGTCCGGGCAGGCCCAATGTCTTCCTGGAGAGCCAGTTCGCCGCGAACCGTCCGAAGCGAACCTTTTTTCCGATCACATCTTCAGCGATGCTGCTAACGCTGCGTGTCCGGGAACAAGAGACCTCCTGTTCCGGAGACGCCGGCGCAGTGCCGACTTCAGTATCGCCTCCCTCAGTCTCGGTGTCGGATATCGTGTTGGAATCCTCGGAAGCAGTCTCGGTATGGCTGTCCTCGCCCTGCAGCAGACTCTCCTTGGCCTGCGAGATTGCACGACTCGCATCCACCTGAGATGATGTTGGAATTACGGCGACATTGGTGATGGTATAAATCGATTTGCCTTGGATCTGAGCCACTTGCTGCCGTTGAGTGATAGAGATGAGGAATGAATACGATGCAACGGATAGAAGCCCTTGAATCGCAGAATATAGCCATCAGTGAATGATCCCTATGCATGGGCCAGAATATCAACTAGAACACGAAGGAGAGACGAGGAGCATGCGCGTGCAAGGTACACATGATGATATGAAACAGAATGATCCACAGTCCATTCTATAATCTTGGCTAGATCGCGATAATCAGCACATACCGACGAGACCGTGAATCTCTATACCGGAGTCCCTTGTATCGTCAAGTCCCGACGCCGGGCCAGGAAGTAATGTGATTTGGTTAGTCTTATAATCGATGCGAATAGCAGACGGCTCGTTATTTCCAGTATGTCGCAAGCCATTGCCTGTGGAGTGAAGGACAAGTCCATCAGCGGTCGCGACCACGACCAGCTTCCGAAGCAATCCAGGCATATTGCCCACTTTTTTTTTTCTCTCTCTTCTGCAAGTTTCGCAAAGAGAAACCTAGGAAATGGATAATTGCGATGAGGCAAGAAAGAGCATCAAAATTAGATATGCAGCTCCACAATCTATAGACAGCGCACCCACCACATGGTCAGTAAGAGCTTTCCTGGTTGGAGGTGCTGGGGTCTGGTGGTGGGATGTCTGCTTGTACCCAATATGGAGCTTAAATCCCACAGCGCGACATCATCGATGGTCTTTTCCCCACCACCAGCCACTCCCGCTGGAGGGGGGAAAAACAACCCCTACGTCACACTTTTTAGCCGGCAAAACGGGGATGATAGTGGTAGCCACACTCATACTTCTCCCAACTAGGCGTCAACAACAAATGCACCAAGAAAAAAAATAGAAAATTGATTAAGAAGTATGAGAATTGATACGAGATAATTCACTGCAAATAATGACTCTCCGCGATTCACATGGTCTATTGAAGAAAATCACCCGTGATCTTAGACTCTATATACAATTCCGGGTCGGTGTGATTGCAGGTATTCGCGCCTGCGGTTCATACCATGGCAGATGATGGAAACAACAAAAACAGACAATAGTCCCATTCCACATACAAGTCATTCGGAGCATCTATTGCTCCTCATCTTCGCATCTTCTTCGCGTCGTCTTCGCGTCGGGAATCAGGTAAAAGTACAAAGCATCCAAAAACAGCCGCGACCGATCAGGAGCAGGGGAGGTGGAGAAGGCGAGCCCGGGGCGGGGGAGAGGTATAGCAAACCGAGGGGAATAACGTGAGTGAGAAGAAGATAACAGCGTAAATGAATAGTTCTGGTCATAAGTAGAAGGCAGAAAGCAAGGAGGAGAATCTTGAAAGGGTGGAGCCAAAGAGAAAAAGATGAAGGGGAAATGATCAGGTATAAGCATCGTATCATACTATAGCGTGTCATGCTTATTGGGTCGCTGCGAGGTACGACTGAGCTCCTCGCTTCGTGCATAAGTAGGACCTGGCTCTCCGTGGCTCTCTTCATCCAATTCTGATAAGCCAAAAGCCTGGTTCTCGACGTCATACGCGCGGATCAGCCCTTCGCGGTCCCCATTCCCGTTCATATATGCGAAGCTCGAAGAACTCCGGCGATGCGGCTCGTTACTGCGCCGAGATTGCATGGACCGTCGCGTCTGAAAGCCAGCAATTCCATCTGTGGGAACGCCTTCATCGTCAAGCTTATAATTCAGCATTTGTCGCCCATCTGGGTCATGTCGAGAAAGGTTCAGGAGGTAAACGCCGGCAAAGATAGTCAGGAAGCCGCAGAGCAAAGAAATTGTGTTCACAGCATCGCTGGTGTTGAACCCCTTGAAGAGAATGAATGAAGCGCATAGCGTAGCGGTTGTAAACGTGACGTAGTATAGCGGATTGACACTACAAGTACTCGTTGTTAGCGCATACCCTAAGAGCTATACACATGGTAAGTGTCACTTACATCGACGTGGAGAACTGATTAAGTGCTTTGTTGAAGTAATTCATCTGGGTCAAGATACAGAAGCCGGTGACAATCATGAAGACATATGTCGATGCTTGAGTAAATTGGTTATTTCCCCCTAAGGTCAGCTTCACCGCGATGCCAAATGCCTTGACAGACATGACTGAAACCGAGCCGACGGTGGAACAAATCGAGATGTAAATCAATGGATTCTTCTTGCCGTAGACGGGCGCAACTCGATAAATCATGACGGTGGAGAAAATCGCGACAGCGAGGCAGTAAACGAGAAATCCTTTGAGCGAGAACCTGCGTCAGCCAGAACTAGCTTAGATCGATCTTTTATTGACACATACCTGGTTGCAGCGCATAGCTCAAGATCTCGTCGATTCTTTCCACAGGTTTGTCTGGGGGCGCGTGGAGAACAATTACCACTGAGCCAAGCAAGCACATGGCACAACCCAGTTTGCCTAGAACGCCTAGTCTTTCCTTAAGGAAGTAGGAACCGAGGACGGCACTGCATAACGTTAGTCTCAGAAATATAAAATCCGCGATTCAAGACATCAAGCCGTACCCGATAAGGACACTCAGCGCACCCAAAGGCGTAACCAGGATGGCAGGCGCAAAAGCATAAGCCGCAAAGTTGGCGATTTCTCCCATGGCCACTGTCGACTTCAGTCAGCTCTTCTCTTCACAAGACCAGCATCATGATGACAATGTCGCTCACAAGTAATGACCCCACCCCACCAAATGGGACTTTTCAAGTACGAGAAGCCTTCTCCTTCAAACCCGTGTCTTTCCGAAGCTTGCATTAGACCCTATGGCGATCAATTAGCCGATTATCCTGGACAAAACCGTGGACGACGCGCGGACGGAAGTGGGATTGCTGGTGGACAACTTCATGGTGGCAGACGAACCTTCTTCGTGATAACGAAACTCGTACCTAGGCGTTTATTAGTCTCAGTCGCTTGAATCGCATGGGTGACCGCTCGTACCAATTGCCATTGTTGACAGAATGGCCAGAATAAGGCCAACGTATCTGTATACCACCACCTGATCAGAAGACTGTCTCAGACAGTGGCCACCAGGCCTTCAGTAACGTGAGGAGATCATACTTATCGGAGATCATATTGACAATAGCCGAGGAGCTGGTTGCTCCCTCGAAGTGTGAAAGCCAGTGCTTGTTCCTATACTTTTGAGGTTGTCGGCGGATGTATGATGCCGAGTCGAAAATGAATGGAGGAGTGAATGCACAATGGGGGAGGCTGAAGTGGATGCTAGGTCGGGCTCGGTGGACGGCTACCTCAGCCAAGCATTCGGAGTGCGCCAACAATGACCGACAAGAGTTGAGAAGCACAACAAGAGCGCAAAGAATGGAAGTCAAAATGAAGGAGAAAGAAACCACAACCAGTGAAACAGAAAGGAGTGAGTAAGCTAAACCACAGTAAGATGCTGCAGCCTTGGGGATGCGACCGATGGCTCTTTTTGGGGTCGAGAACTTCCTGCGATCGGTCGGAGAAGAGAGCTGGTTGTTTGGTGATCCTAGAGGCTGGCTGGCTGCCTGCGCTCGTGCGGTGGGGTTTTTCCCCTTCAAACGGATCCGGGCCGGATCTGGACGCGCGTTACTAGTGAGTACGTAGGTGCAAGCGAGTGACTGGCGACAACGAGTCCCCTAATCTAATTTTCCACGGTAGTCTGCTCCAGAGGCACAAAGTAGGCTCTAGACTGGTATTATCGTGGGAGCTGTAGGGAGATGGTAGAAAGCAGACTCAAAAAAGGTGTTTGAGAGAAACTGATGTTGGTGGTCTGAAGATCGGAGATGCAGCCGTGTCCTCGGTTGCCAGAGCATTCAATTAGGTAGTAGTTGTTACAGTAGGAACGGGGTACTACGGAGTACTTCCATTGGTGGTGATGACGCCCTCCCACCAAAGATAGACCTTACATAAGCCGTCCCGCAAAATGAAATGAACCTTACTGCAAAGACATTGAATGTAATAATGTTGAACAAGTGGATTGTAGTAACCGGTCATATTGAATATGTCCTGTACTGTACCGGTACATTACATAATGTTTTGATACAAGAGTATAAGTACTCAGATTTACTATGCTCATCGACCAAGATGTGCAGTATATAGGCATCAGGCCGGTGCCAATGTTCGCTACGTACTGTATGTACCCGCTCACAAGCCTAGCTTGGAATGTGAAGGAAACGAACCCAGGGTGCGGAAGGGCAACGGTGGCCATTCCATTTCACCCTGATCCAATCAAGGACTGCCAGCCACAGCCTGGCCCCCCCCTTGTTGAGGCTGGTTTCAGTACTTGATCAGCGTCTTGAAACAAAGGGTGCCTAAGAATAGTCGAAATCATCACTTGAATCGCTGTAATTTCTTGTTCTACCTACGTACCTACGTATCACTGATATGCACTTTCCTGGCCCCAAAGTGGTGTGATATTATGGTACGGATATTCCCTTTTGCACACCTGTATCCAGTCATCCCTTAGATTAGACACAGAACAATGACATCGTAACCAGAAGTCGGCCAGATCCAATTACACTTACCTTTACTGCACGTGCTACAATTGTTTGACAATTTATTGACATGATGATGCCCACCCAGGGTTTGAAGGAAGTAGGGGACAATCTCCTACGAGCCAAGTCAACTGGCTCCTACTAGTAACAAAGGTTCAAGGTAAATTGAGTTCAAACAGTCAAAGGAAATAAGTGTAGTTGACACAACTGAAAATGTTTGGCCTCAATTCCTCGCTAAGGATAAGAACGCAAGAAGCGTAGATGAGCCTCCATTTCAGATAGTACCAGCTTATTTAAAGATCCACCCAGGGAAATGCGCAAGGTCATTAGGCCATCACGCGAGCGTTGAAGCTTATCTAGAGGGGGTATTACAGCACAACACCGGTTGCAACACACAATGGAAGGAGAAAGATGTGACCCCAGACGCCAGACAGAATGCCGACCCAGGTGGTATCGCAGAAACCAAGAGCGACGAAGAAACACGAGGGTGAAAACAAATACAAACCTAGTTTTACAGCCCGGGCCAGGGATAACCCGAGCGGTAGCATACTTGGAGACATACTCTTTGCAAAGAGGGAGAGAGAAAAGACGAAGTGACATCTTGGAGGATACGTACCTGATCGAGTGATATCACGAGAAGCCGTTTGGTCTGAACTCGTAGGTTTTCTAGCGGCATGAAGAGCTAGTTTTTGGTGAAGCTCGCTGGCTACCTCCTATCCGTTCATCAGATATGGAGCCTAAGATCAGCACAGCTCGCTGGAGTGGTTAGATTGTAAAGATGAGAAAAGCCCAGAATCGGCGACGAAGCGCGCGGTGAATGGGGTCGATAAGAGATCTTCAGAGATATGGCGAATGAGTAAGTGGGCAAGTGACAGTTCTATGAGGATCGGGATCGTTTGGCGTCAGGCGAGGGCGTCTCAATCAACTCAACTTCGTCTTCCGGTTCACGGTGTCGTTTAGTGGAGGGATGAGTGTGGGCTTTGGTAGGAGCTTCATTCGCGATTGCGTCTGCATCTTCATGAAACTCCAGATCGAGATAATCATCATCGAAATCCAAGCCATCCTCGTTGTCATGGCTGGCGGTCAAAAGCGGACTTTGTTCGGCTTCATTATCGAGATTTCCGAGATCTTCGAACTCATCTGCATGGGCGACTTCTTCGGCGTCGTTCTTGGGACCTTCGCTTGGCAAATTATCCGCAACACCCAGGGAATCATCTGCTGAATTCATACTTGGATAAAATTTGTTGTTCGTTTCGTCTTCGAAACTTTCGTCCAACTCAACAACTTCTGTACCTTCGGGGTGAGGAGCAGCAGCAGCAGCAGCATCATCATCATCATCGCCATCATGCAATGCCGCGCCATCAACATGAAAATGATCTTGGGAGGCTGCAATGGACTTCTTATCAGAAGACTGAGAGTTTTCTTGCACACTAGAAATCTGTACTTGATGAGTTCCTTGTGTCTCAAAATCGGAGGTAGCTTCGTAAGGACCGACAGGAGCTGCTTCGACGATTTCACCAGGTTCAGATTGGTCAACTTCGTTCAAAGAGTCGATGCCTTCAAGTTCCGTACCATCTATGTCGTTATACTCATATTGAGTCTCATCAAGCTGATGGTCTGTGACACCAGTGGACCCGCCACCTGCCTGCTGCTCATCCACACTCTCTGTCGGTGGTAGCTGGGTAACCGTGGCACTTGATTCGCTTTGCTCCTCAGAATGATATGATGCTTCATCCGGGTGTTGAGAGATAGCTGCATGGCCTCCAGTCTCAACCTCAAACTCAGCTTCGCCGGCCTGATCAGCGAGGCCTTCTCTAAATGCATCGACTTCGCGACCATTAGCTGAAATTTCAACTTCCGCTCGAGAATTATTTTCAATACTCTCTTCACCATGATGCTCTTCATGATCTTGTTGATGACTAGAGACTTCTTGAAGAAGCCCTGTACCAACTTGTTTGTCATCATCAGGTTTAGGGTAGTCTTCTTCTTGCGGCAAGCCAGAGTAAGGTACCTCGTCAAGGTCCTCATATAGTTCCGCGGAGACAGCTTCGGCCTCTGCGTAACTATCCCAGACATGAATATCAGTAAGGCCCTTTCCTTCGTTGGCTGCTGCGAGAAGATCAGAAAGCTCCGCAGAGAGTGTCAGTCGTGTGCTAAGTGAAAGATAAAGAGGCTCCGGCTCATCAATGCCCTCGTTGTGGCATAAGCGCAAATAGAGGTCAACTACTTGGAGTAACGTGATATTGTCCATATGCATACAGTCCTGATTTGTCCATATGTTAGCATCTGTGCAGTAAGAAGGGCAGGCCAAACAAACCTCTGCAAGCTGAAGATTTAAGGCATCAACGTCCATAACGAGCACCTCCCTATCGCTGATATGCTCTCTGAGGACATCTCGACATGCTTCAAGGAGTTTTGCGAAAGAACCATATGCAAGACTTTCATCTTTCAGGAAAAATGTCTCCGAGGAATCGCCCTCCCTAGGAGGAAAAAGAGATATCTCAGTTTCCTGGTAATATACCTTAACTGAGTACAGAGCTTCGTGCTCTGTCACCTCCACTGTTTGCTCAACCGGTTGCTGAGTATCGTGACCAGCTGCTGCATCGTTGTCTGGCTTTTCCGTACCCTTGGTCTCGATCGTTCCGCCCTCTTGGCGTTCCCCTTCTTCATACTGCCGTTCTATAGTTTCAACCTCCTCTTCTTCCTGTGTTTCTCCTTCAGCCTTACTTGCAGAGAAGTCAGTCTCGTCGAAATGGCTTTCGTGTACTTGGGACTGCGCCGGTTGTGTAGCATTGTCGCCCTGCTCATCGGGTTGTGTGGGATCTGCAGTCTCATATTCTGCTTCATTAGCATCAGCATAGCCTTCCTCAACCTCTCCTTCTTCAAGAGATGCCGCAGGCTCTTGAAGATGCTCCGATTCTGCGCGAGTCTCAGCATGGTGCCCCGGGAGAACATCGGCTTCCTGTTCGGCATGATGCTCGGCTTCAAATACCTCATGAGGCTCGCCTTGAAGCTCTTTCTGAGATTGTCCTTGAGGCTCTGCTAGGGGCTCTGCTTGAGGCTCTTCTTGAGGTTGTCCTTGAGGCTCTTCTTGAGGTTGCTCCTCAGGATGCTCTTGATGCTCCTCGTGGAATTCCTTGCGTGGTTCCTTTTGTCCGTCTACAGCGGTGATGCCATCAATTAGACCTTGGTCCTGTTCCATTGGCTTGCTAAGTTGTTCAGATGAAGGTTGGACGTCGACGTCTGTGACCGGAGCATCGATATCTTCGTCGTAGTCGTCTTCTAACATCTCTGCTTCATAATCCCGATCGGACCCGTACTGCATTTCGATATTGTATCCTTCGTCAGCGAAAGCGTCTTCCGCATCATCCATTGTCCGCTCCGCTATATCGTCGGTCATATCTGCATCGCGAGCACCCTCCAGGTCATGGTCCACTGCGTTTGATGGCTCTGGAAAGTCATCCGCTATCATCATGTCCTTATCTGTTGTTGAAGCTTGGTCTTCCATTATATCGATATCGATATCAAAATCGTCGACGTTTCCCTGATAGGGAGACGCCATTTCCATTTTGTCCTCAGCCATAGTAGCCTCTATTGTGAAACAAGCCAGCGAAGAGGCAGCTGTCATGGCATATAATCAGCCGAAGGTTGGGTGACGCGTGCGAAATTTGGCGTGGCGATGAAGGTACGCCTGACGAGCAGCCCAAGCGCAACCGTATGACTCGCTTTGGCTAGTAGACGAGGTATTCGCCAAACCTTCAGACTCAAACCGGTGAATCCGTCACTAAGTAGTGGTCAGCTCTGTCAAGAGTGAGCAACAGAGCAGTGAATCTGGGGGAAGTTGAGGATGTCCTACTACGGGGTTGCAAGCGGACGAAGCTTCTTGTGCTGCGGTAAGCGAGGGGGTAGCGCGGGCGCACGGGCCAACGGGGACAAAGAGAACAGCAAGCGACTCCGACCTCCGTGGCTTCGACGTCTAGACACGCCTAACAAGAACACTCGTCATCTGCGCTCACCGGGGCAGTTTGTTGAAGGTCTCGTAGTCAATTTGTGTCGAACATTGATCTGTCAACTCGCAAAATGGTAACTCTTTATTAACATGAGTCAAATTAACCCAGCTTTCCCTGCTAACCTGGCACAACACTAGGTCGTCCTCGCAGCGTCGATATGCACCCGCGGGGGCAAGGCAGTCCTCTCGCGTCAATTCAGAGAAATCGCTCGTTCTAGAATTGAAGCTCTTCTCGCATCCTTCCCCAAGCTAGCTGACTCTGGAACACAACATACGACCGTGGAGCAAGATAATGTCCGCTTTGTCTACCAGCCCCTGGATGAGCTATACATCGTCCTGATCACAAACCGCCAATCCAATATTTTGCAAGATATCGACAGCCTTCACCTTTTCGCCCAAGTCACCACCAGTATCTGCAAGAGCTTGGATGAACGAGAGATTGTGCGCAATGCGTTCGAATTGCTCAGTGCGTACGACGAGCTGGTCACGCTAGGATACAGAGAGAATCTATCAGTTTCTCAGATCAAGACATTTCTGGAGATGGAGAGTCATGAGGAGAGAATTCAAGAGATCATCGAGCGGGTACGACTCAGCAGAATGGTTTCGAGACGACGGTTGCTAACTTCCCTTGTCAGAACAAAGAATTGGAGGCCAGCGAGGAGCGCAAGAGGAAGGCCAAGCAGCTGGAAATGCAACGAAAGGAGGCCGCCCGGAGCGGTCGTTCTATGGCGCCTCGGACTCCATCCTACCCTGTGTATACGCCTCCATCCCGCCCTGCTGTGCCCGAAACATATGACACCTACGAGGCAGAGAAGAAGAAGACCTTCGCTAAGTATGTCATATACTCCCCTCGCCCCCCATCCACCCCTTGTGTTTCACGTTTATTCATATCGCTGCTGACACTTCCGGCTCCCATCGTTAGGCCGTTACCTGTCCGTGGCAAGGGTATGCAGCTCGGCAAGAAGTCGAAAACTACTGATATCTACGAGAAAGTCCGTGGCGACTTGGGCCCCGAGGCAGAGGAGGCCACCCCACTGGTGACCCCGCAGGCACCGACCCCCGTTGCCAACACAGTGTCTTCCGCTCGTGCGTCGCTGTCTGGGGATCGTGAACCCGTTCAGGTGACAATTGCCGAAACTATCTCCGCTACACTTACCCGGGAGGGAGCCCTTAGGTCGTTTGAAGTGAAGGGCGATTTACAGCTTCGCATTACCGATCCCGCTTTCACCAAAGTCAGACTCGACCTCCTTGCAGTCCCCACGCATGGCGCGCAGTTCCGCACCCATCCGAATGTTGACAAGGCTGTCTTCACAAACGACTCCGCAATCCAGCTGAAAGATACCACTAAGCGATTCCCAGCCAACAACTCAATTGGTGTTTTGCGCTGGCGTGTCGCTAGCTCTGGGTCTGACAACGCTGAAATACTTCCTATCACGTTTACCGTGTGGGTCAACAAGGGCTCTGATTCGACTACGGTCACGGTCGAGTACGAACTCACTGGCTCTGACAGCCTCCGGGATGTTGTCGTTACTATCCCCTATCAGACGGCCGAGCCCGCGGTGTCTAGCTTCGACGCCGTGTATGAAGTATCTGGCGACAGTCTTGACTGGAACATTGGCACGGTGGACGAGAGCAACGCATCCGGAAGCTTTGAGTTCGAGTCAAGTGGTGATGGCGATGAAAACGAATTCTTCCCTATGAGTGTACGCTTCTCCAAGACCAGTCCTTTTGTGGAAGTCGATGTCAATGAGGTCTCTCTCTTGGAGATGGAAGGAGAGAGCACCGCTTTCACCAAGGATATCAAGTGCGTTGCGGAAGGATTTGTTATTGAGTGATCTTTCTACTTCAGTCGGGTGTATAGAGTATTAATGACGTTCGGACTGCCCTTATCTTCTACTCTCAAGAGACTTTCCATATCTTTTGTTTGCTTTTCTTCTAACCAGGGTTTCTTTCTTCCCAATTTTGCAATTCAAGCCTCACTTTTCAATCATACCACTCGCGCCTTGCCAGACTGTTCCGGATGCTCAAACCCGCCTACGTGTCAAGGTTGGATAGAAGCCACTCTACCAGGTCTAGGGCTGGCTGAGGACTAGGCTCGGCGATTGCTGCGTGTCTCGACCATCAATAGATGCAGCGAACGTTATTGCCCGACAAACTCTAAATTCTTGAAGACCATCGGAGACGCATTGTAGTAACATCTCCGCTTCTCTGTGGGTTTGTGCTGAAGTCACCAATTAACTGCCCACAGAACCTGATGAGCTGGCTACGAGTTCCAGCCAAACCAGGCAAAGTCAGATGCGATCCACAAGCAGTGGAAGTTTAAATGACCTTTCTTGCATCGGCTTGCCTGACTCCGTTTCAGGTACTATGCAGGTTTTCTCTTTGAAATCCGGTAGACATCTGAGCTTCTAAGGCACCCCTGTGACCGTAACTCCCGTCATTTCAGTCTTGAGCCATGGAAGATCAAGTAAATTAGCCAAGCATGAGGTCAGGATGCTTTCCGTAAGGTTGAAACAGCTTTTTGAATGGCCATCATTGACTCAGGGATCCCCCCAGCATGGCATGACAAACACAGTCACTGCATAACGTTATGGGCAACTTCCATGGAGACCGAGGCCACAGTACCTAGGCGCGCTCAAGGGAAACTTGAAGGTTTAAATGCCTAGCTTCAATAGTGTCAGGCAACAAGTGTGTAAGCATCCACCGGCTCATTAACCAGCTGTGGCGAGATATAGATCACGCATGAAGAGAGAATGTTCACTGCAACCTAAAATCTGGCTCCTGAGAGACTTTTCTCATCGACCTTTTCAATGGATTTGTGACTCAACAAATATCTCTGGTGGAGAACAGGATGTTTCCCCAGCGATCACAATGCAGTCTGCTGTCTGTCTGTGTGTAAGTAGATGGAATGTTTTACAAGGCTTTAGCAGGCAAAGGCTAGAGATCACATGCTAATGGACAGAGACATTTACTTGATCATCTACAGTAAGCATATCAGCATATGAGCATATGAGCTCAGAAAGGGTTGAGAAAGTTTCCATTAGGCTACTAGACCGCTCCAACCCATGGTTCGCTTCTTATACTTCGGGTGCGCACCTCTTCGCATGGCCGAGAAAACAGCGGTTGTTTGTATCCCACCTCTGCTCAGAAAGGAGAAAGATGGAGATTCGGTCTCGCCCATTTCATCTTCATTTGTCAGAGCTTGGTCTTCTCCTCAGTCCCAGTGCATGCAAGAGCCTATCAGCAGTGGAAGGAGATGGCAGGGTTACATTTTCCAAACCGAATCCCGCATAGGCTATCTCATCAGAACCGACACTGGGAGAGTTTACAAGCACTGCGCCAACTTAGGGTCCAAGAGGTGTGTACCTTTTTTTTCTGGCTCACTTCACATGTTGGTTCTGGGTCCGCTATAGCCAGACCACAGATGGGGGCTTGACGGGCTTCGAATGAAAAGGAGTCGACTTAGGTAATGCCAGAACGATGATACTGCACGGTGAGGCCAGTCGTGGGTCGAGACTCCTCTCAGTCAAACTGCATACAGAAGTGGGTGTGGGTTACGCATCCACAGAGTCATGAGAGAGGTATTGATCCCATTGTTCGCTCTCCACACTCTATTTCCGCAGAATAAACTCGGTGGAAACCAGTCAGGAACCACTCATTCAGGACTTCTCCACCCCCTCCTCCTCCTCCTCCCTCTCCATTGACGCTGAATCCAAAACATTCTCCAACCACGGCAGTGCCTTCCATTTGCAAGTCTCCTCCGTCTTAAGGGGTCAGGGTTGACCATATGACATCAACATGAGCCATTATCTTTTTTTTTTTTTTTCAAAGCGTACCAAACTATAAGATTCATCGATAATGTTTGAACCCATCCCTATTGATACCACAACTCGACCAACCTGATCATCAACATGCAGGTTCTTCTCTTGTCGCAACCCCACGCATCTTCATAATGCAGATATCCAACTGGACAAGTCAATCAACAGCAGCGTTGTTTCAAGTCGCTGCGCCTGAAGCAAAAGGGCACAGCTATGGAGTAAGCTAATGATGAAACTTGATCAATGCACCCATTTCGAGCATGCTAAGAACGTTCCCTCATTCGTTTTCTCTCCAGGATAACCCGATCCCCCCTTTACTGCGGCCCAGTAGGGATCTTTCCGCTATCAGAAAGATGGCCATCCCGAGGTTGGCTGAAGGAAAAGAAGCAGTCCATTCCGCTCGGTCTCACCGTCGCCACGTTAGTCGAGCGTGCGAATCTTGTAGGCAGAGGAAGACAAAATGCACGGGGGACAAGTCAGGCTGCCGCAACTGTCGGGACGCTGGGATGATCTGTTGCTACACTGACGGAAAAAGAGAGAAGTCTAAGAGGTGCGTCAAACCTGAGCACTGAGCACACTCAGAGCCTAAGAACTAACGCTGATTGTCACGAACGAAGACAAATGGCCAGCTTGGAAACTAAGATTCGCACCTACCAAAACGTGTTGCAAAAGTTAAGCATTCGCTTGCGCGTCCCTGAAGATCAGCTGATGGCATACGCTCTGGCAGCGGTACGCTCAACGACCTCTTCTGTCCAATTTCTGCTTAGGGCCCTTGCTGAGTCTCATCCAGGAAGACCCGTCCGATGACACCTCCTCCCATGACGAGTCTGCGACTCCGAACACCGAGGCCCGGAGGCAGTCGTCGGTATCTGAAGCAGCTACACCTTTCTTTTCTGGGTTTGAGAACAACCTAGATCGCATAGAGGAGGATTTGAATCGGGATGAGGCCTCGCAAGCGACTGGTTTCGTCGGTCAGAGCTCAGAGATATCTTGGTTACAGACTCTGGCCAGAGAACTGGAACTTGGATATGATCATGGATACTTCAGTGGGGAAGATCCATCCCCAGCAACAGCAGCAGCCCACTACAATCGCTTCAGGTCATTTCCCAATTATCATTTAGACGCCATGGAGATCCCTTTATTTGACAACGTGGATCCGTATTCTTACCCCACCAAGGATGTTGCAACGAAGCTTTACAAGACATACCTTGATTGGGTTCACCCCTCGTTTCCGGTGATCGGTACTGCCCCTTTTGGAGCACAATTTCAGGCTTTCTTCACGAACTCATCCTTACGCCCTGTGTCCATACGCCCCGGAAATCGATGGCTAGCAATACTCAACCTGATCTTCGCCCTTGCTACCAAGTACGCGCATTTATCCGAGACCGAATGGCAAATGGATAAGGACGCACATCTTGTGTACTTTCTCAAGGCCAAAGCTTTGGGTCTAGATCATCAGCTACTGACTTTCCCTGATCTACAGCAGCTGCAGGTCGAAGGACTAACTGCTTTGTATATGCTGACTCTGGGCCATGTGAACCGGTACGTGTGCCCAATCCATCCATGCTCTATTCTACTGCTCACACACAGCTAACAATGTATGTTAGCGCTTGGGCATTTTGTGGAAGCGCGATCCGCGGGGCTCTGGGCCTCGGGCTGCATCTACGCCATCTTGGAGACAGCACATCCGATACTTCAAGAGAAATCAGATGCCGTGTATGGTGGTCTCTATATACGCTTGACCTTCGTCTCAGTGTGATGACCGGAAGACCTTCTTTCATCCCCGACAGCCTGTGTACAACACCTCTGCCCCTTCCATTCGATGAACAAAACTTTGGGAGGGAAGAGGTGATGCGGCAGCTTAGACGCTCGATTGACGGTAGCCCCCTTGCGACAGAAATGCTGTCAACGAGTCAGTCGGAAATAAATGCAATGAGCACGGTGGTCGAAAGGGTGGATTCAGAAGAGAACAGATACTCACCCTGCGGGTCCTTGTACTTTGTTCATTTGGTACAACTAACCATGATTGCAAAAGAATCCCTAGCTAAGATCTACACCCCGAGCACAGTTCAATCTCCTTGGCAAAGCGTTGAGTTCGCCATACGCAGTCTCACACTTAACCTTGACACATGGCTAAGTAATCTCCCCAACGAATATGATTTCACCCGCACCCAGTCATCGCAAGTATCGCAGGAAACGTCAAATCAGAGGCTTAGTCTGGCCCTGTTGTTTTACAGCACCAGGATAAGCATCACACGACCCTGCCTTCGTCGTGTAGAGTCTTTTAGCCAAGGGGGCAAGATGCAAATGTTTGGTCAGAAAGTTGCGGAGGACTGCGTCGAATCAGCCTGTCACATGTTAAGACTGTTCCCAGAAGACCTGAAAGCTGCAACATTATATACAGCGTCCCCTTGGTGGTGCTTATTGCATTACCTGATGCAAGCAACGGCGGTACTCGCTCTTGAGCTCGCCTTTCAAGCTCAGCATGTACCGGACAAAGCGCCCATGGTTTCGAAAGCTCTTGATAAAGCGTATGAGTGGCTGTCTTTGATGTCAAGGACACAAAAAACCCCAGAAAGAGCCCGCAGACTCTGTGATCGGCTTTTGCGCCAACTCAAGCAACGGGAGGACATTAAAGTCTCCGAGTCTCCTTCCGTCCAGTTGACCAGCCTAGAGTCGCCTGCAGATACACCTCCCCCCTCACATCCGATTAGAACAAGAGAAAGCTCGGCGGACTCAGACAGTTCACCTCTTGGGACGAAATTGGACTATCAGCAATCACCGGCTCTATTGACCGGCAATATGAACTACACGTCTTCACGCCTCCTGGAAGCGGCGGGCGACCTTCCAATTCTAAGTGAGAGCACATTGGAACTTCCGAGCAATTACGACGAGTTCTTTCCTTACGACACAAATACTGGTCAGCTCACGGGCTCCTTCTTCCCTACAGAGTATGGGATGGATGTGGAACCGAATAATCTCTATCACTTTTGACAGTCCACTCGAGTAATCGACATCAGTGCAAGGCATAAACTCAGGGTGGGAGACTTTGATGGGCATGCTTGGAGTTTCCCACTCTGTCTAGTTTGTGACACCCCCACAGCATTCGCTGTCTGCATTTTTCTGAGACGGCCATGCCGAAAAGCATGTGGAGTGTTCGAAACAGGAGACTGTCCCAACAGCATGATCCTTATTCTTAATCATTCATCAACAGGATAAGAAGCTGTGCGTGTCTGTGCGCGAGGAGATCATTTCTAATTGGAAATGACACAAGTTAATCTTTAGCAATTTGTCAGATTAGGCTAGGTAATTCTAACAAAGGCTGCCACCATGCAGGGAAAGGCCCACGGTGACTATTCAACTGCATCTCCCAATTGGAGCTGACGGTCTTCTGCTTGCCGAGAATAAGCACCATCAAAGAGCTTGCAGGCTATAGATATAAGAAGTAGATAGGTCTGACCGTAACTGGACATCTAGTACTTTGATCTCAGTGTCTATATGCGGGCCTCAATCCACCCACTGCGGTAATAATTTTTCAGGTCCATGACAGTTGCAAAACAGTTGCAGAACAGTTGCAGCGTATGTCTTGAGAATCAATATTTCAAATGGTGTGAGTAGGTACATTTTTGGCGGATCTTGATGCTTCCATTGTTAAGTCATGGTACCTGCTTAGTAATTCGGATCCATAACCAATTCCTCTCATATAATAACGGAGCTTGTTCATATCCTTTCGCAATCATCACATTTTGCCTCCTAATAGCAAACGTTATCGATATTGCAGCTGTATAGTGACATGAGCTATGAGCTATAGCTCTTGATGGAGTCTGTCTCTTGTCAGACGATCACAAAAGTCATTACATAGCATCCTGTGTTGTTGGTAAGTATCGATAGCACGACTACCTCTAAAAGGCTATACAACTATCTGCTTTACCGCAGATACCAAAGCACATTCGCCTTGATGACCTGTGAGACCTGCAACAACAGTGGCTTGGAAGGCGACTTTCATTCTAAAGCACTTGTCAGGCTGCGGTACCGAGCGTGCAACTCATTGGCATGGATCTGAATCACTCCTCCGCCTCGGTTGAGGCATCCACACGCTGTGCCCTAGATAATCCGTCGCTGCCAAAATCCAGGGGAGTCAAACAGCCTCCTGATGAATCTTCCGGTATCCTCCTGAAGCATAATGATCCTTCACTCACCCATCGGAGCTCTTCGGGCATCAAGATCATCCTTCCAACGGGAGACATAGTCATTGAGTACCTGGACCCCGAAACGGTGGCGGCCTCTCCATCCAGAGCTGTGGTCCATCGGTGGCGAGTGTCCAGCAGTGATATCATGCGCAATAGCCCATACTTTAGGGCTCTCTTGGACCCGCACAAGTTCGCGGAAGGCAAGAACCTGATACACCAGAAGATCCAAACCCAGCAGCTAGCCTCCGAATCTACGGTTAGGAGCCTAGACTCTCCCGACGACGAGCAAGCCTGGAACACGGATGAATTGCCGGTCGTTCGACTTCCAAGCGATCACTTCTCCTCGCGTCTCGGAACGGATGCCATTGAGCTCTTTCTCGAGGTTCTGTCCTACGACTCATATGATGACGAACAACAGCGCACGTTTGACGCTAGACTCAGAGTGCAGCCTGTGTCCCTTGTCTCGAGATTGGTGGAACTAGCTGATGCTTTCAACTCACCACAGGCCGTTCAGAAAGCTCTGAAACGCTCAGGTTATGCTTTTGGCAAGGGGAAGGTCCCTCTCACCAGGTTCGATGCAGCCTCCTTGTTGAAGCTGCCCGAGGATCGGATCCGCCAGACCATATTCGTGGCTCGATTTCTCAACGAGCATGCCATTGTTCAGGTGTACACCCATACACTCGTCGTGATGGGGTCTAAATATTGGTCGAACGGCGTCGTTGAAGGCCCTGAAACTCCCACGTTTCCCTGGCGGTATCTCACTGGTGGAATAGAAGGTCAGACATCAACCTCTGAACCAGCACATAGCTTGTCCAAGAAGTAAATCAAGTTACTGATAAACGGATCCAGAGGAACTTTACTTTCGTCGACAATGCGTCCTCAACACGATAACCGACCTGCAAGCCCACTTCCTCCGTGCCTACGGAGCTCTCGAAGACCCGACAGACGACGCCTACCCTTCCGGCACAGCAACAACATCCACATCTACGGCCACCACAACCACGGCAGCAACCCCCCAACCCCGACCCCCATTCTCTTTGCCGGCCACCTCTACCACCCTCCACCCCCGCCACTTCCAATGCCGCTACGGCTTCGCCAACTCCAGCGCCTGCGACGCCTTCCATCTAGGCCAAATGACGCGCTTCTTCGCCTTACGCACCAAGACCATCTTCCTCGGCTCCTCCCTCATCGACGACCCGGACTTTCTTCTCGCACTGGATGATGAAGACCACGATAATGACGAAGCTGATGATGAGGATGATGAGGATGCCAACCTAAGAGCCGATCACCCACCACCTCCCATCCCACAACAACAACAACAACAACAACAACAACAACAACAACAACAACAACAACAACAAACAAATATAGCCACACTCCTCGCCTCCCTCAAACAGTGCCCGGACTACCAGATCGACACCAACCACACGGGCTGCGGCATCCGCCGCCGCTTCCTTCCGCCGCTGGACTGCATCGAGCGATTCGTCGGCGACGCCCGCGGCCTGCTGGGTGTTACTCTCGCGCGACCGTCATCGTCATCATCCTCCATCTCCTCGCAGGGGAGTGGTTGGGCCCCGACGACGCGGTGGACCGTGACTCCCGGGTCGTGGGCGAACCGGTCACGTCCGCGCGCGTTGGTGCTAGATGTGCATTTGTCGCGGATCAATGCTATCCCCGTGCTGGCGCGTGGGAGTGGGAGGAAGGTCGAGCGAGGGGTCCGGGTGGGCAGCTCGCAGGAGGAGAATGCGAGGTTGTTGTTCACGGCGCGGAGGCGAAATTGGGAGGCTTAACTTCTTCTCGCTCTCTCTCTCTCTCTCATTCTGTTCCCCACTTCTCTACTCGGTATACTTGGCGATCACAACGGTTGTTTCCTGGTTCATGGTTTGTATTGTGGAAGATGGATTATATTTTGATAGAAAGTGGGTGTGTACAGTTTCCTGTATATAGTGTCGGATTGGACGTTTCTATTTTGGCGGAAAGGGATGTTGCGCATCGCGCCGGCCCGATTTTGGAATATATGGTTGGGGTCTGGGCTGGGTGTACCTCAATGCACTAAGTTGGGTGCAGGGCAGGGACCATGCAACGGTGTATATGACGTTGTATATACGACGTTGTATATACTCATAGAATAGAAGCCGAGAAAGAAATTTAGAATCAAGGACATGCAAATCTGTAGCAGGCAGACTAACAGCATAAACGAAGGACTGACTGCCCAGGTTCAATGCGCCGCTCTTACCCTCTCTGCGCGCCGAGATACATCTACATATGCTTCTCTCAAGCGTTCGTTTTTGGGTCGAAGCTCTTCAAGAAATAATAGCATTTGGGGGCATTGCGCGGGACAGCATAAAATGAGGACCATGTTTGATGTCTGATCGGCCTGTCGAAAGTTGCCGACCAAATCAACCCCCTTCCTACCAATGATCCCTGATCTCGCAGACGACTAGTCTGATTCTACAAATGCCAATTCTGTACCGACACCCACAAGATTGATAGTACATCTTATTCGTCTATTGTAACATGTGACTAATTTCGGATAGATAGGTCTGATAGATAGGTGATTATGCTTCTGGTAATGTGCCACAGGATAAATGCAAAGGAAAGACCGGTAACAGCATGATTTTCAGGGCGCTCAACTCCATGATCCATAGGTGCAATAGTGATGCCAACGAAAAAAAAAGTGATGGTGGTAATGTATGTATAAGGACGAGAAGTGAAGGAAAGGTAGATTATTTGGTAAATGTCCAGGAGAAAGATATGTGAAGTGGAACGCGGAGATGATAACGGAAATGTGGAAACAGCATGGCGGAGTGTACGCCCTCAAGGCAGCACAACCAAAGGAATGTGCATTATTTGGTAGCTCTTATCTGTATCTGCCTTCAGCTGCAGGTTACCACGTTCCTGGGCGGATGTTTCACGAAGCTGCAGTGCTTTACCAGTGATCTGGAACAATTTGGAGGCTAGCGGATTGAGGGAGTCCAAAGGAAGTGGTGGTTCAGGCATGGGAATGCCATTCTGCTGGTGCTCTTCTTCCTCGTCTTCATCGACCTCATCCAGTCCTTGACCACTCACTACGCTGAGGCGACGGGAGATAGGCGACACCAAAGCAAAATGAGGAACCGCTTCGTCATCATCTGACGAGTATGGACTCAATTGCTGCTGCTCTTCACCGTAGCCGGAGACGCCCGCACCAAACAAGTCCTTTCTTTGAGAGACCAGGTGCCACGGCTCTCCACACACGAATCCAGCCACGAAATCTTGATTGGCGCGGGCAGCAGCCACGCAACTTTGGCGGTAATCATTGGTGAAGGAACTGGCTGTGGAGGATGGTAGACACAAGACTAACCCACGAGCCATGAGTGGTGGGGGCGGGAAGTCCTCAGGGATGGTCGCGGGGCTCAAGGACCGGAATTCAAAACCACGTCGCTCATACTGGGGAGATTCCAAAGGTAGCTCGGTGGAGTCTTCGGTATGTTGAGTGATGGTCTGAGTCAAAGAGATGGTGGAAGCTTTGCGAGGAGGAAGGTCGAGGCCGCTAGTGTTGTCAACGGCATACTCGGAGAGGTGCTGCGATGTCGCATCTGCGTCATGGTCGCTAAAAGAGTGATTGTTGGCGTTGTTGTCTGCCGTGATCTCGGTGCGAATGGTCTGAGCTGCATCTGCTACTGCCTCGCGGGCGGCCGCCTTCAAAGTGGGAATCAAAATGTCGGCTTCCTGGTTATACACAGCCACGCCGGAGGCCCACGCTGTTGAAAGGCCAGCCCACGAGGCCGGCTTGATGATACCTTTCGTATACTTCTTGCGAATCATATCAACGGTCTCATTCCGCACCTCTCTCGTCTCTGCTTTCTGTCCACCAACAATGTCCACTGTAGAATTCAGGATCCGACCACCCTCCCAGATCAGGAAGCCATGTCTCCTCGCCAGGGCAACCAATTGGCGCACCGTCTCCTCCGACCAGTCATCAATGATGTCTGCGTAGACTTGTAGAATAGCAATATGCGGGCCAACTAAAGTGGCTAAGTGCAGGAGAGTGTCGGTGTTGGTGACGGTATGCGAAGGCGAGACGCAGACGGGAAGTCCGTAAGGCAGATATGACTTGGACCTTACCAAGGTGTCCAGATAGGCGACGATCCGATTGCCCGGATATGAAGGAGAATCCAACGACGAGTCCATCATTGCTGGTGAAATCGGAGGGAGAGAAGAAAGGTGTTTAGGTTGTGTTGTACTGTACGGTAAGGGGAAGTGACGGGTGTGGAGATGATATATAGACAGCAAACAACGGAAGAGACAGATAGATCAACTGTCAACAGATAGACAGACAGACAGTCAGCCAGTCACCACTATTTCAATTGGGTCGTACAGGAGGGCGGAGACGGGAGAAGAAAGAGGGAAGAAGGGGAGGAGGAGACGGAGGAGACGGAGGAGGAGGAGGAGGAGGAGGAATAGGTAAGGTTAAGTTGGCGGTGCCTTTGTTTTTTTCTTGCCTTGCCTTGAACTTTCAGTCAGGCTCAGGGAGCTGGGCCAACTTCCGGAGTCGTCGTAGCTTGGTTGTTCCCGTTGAGCTACGGAAGAAGAGCTTCGGGGCTAAAGTGCCTCCAACCCACTCGAGTCCCTTGACTGGTCGACTTGGTCGAGACAAAATGATTGACAATCGAGTCCGATCCCCACTTGGCCTGCCAATGACCAGACTAGACTAACTAGTAATCACTCGACATGATCAGTCGACAGGGGTTGGGAAGGACCTTTTTTTCTCTCTCCTGATTTTCTCAATTTTCTTTTCTTATCTTTTCTTTGCTTTTCTTTTTTTTTTTTTTTT